TCCTGGAAGTCAAAGTGCTTGGGTGCCATGAAATTCTTGGAGTAGTGTAATTTAGTAATTACCTTTGAAGAGTGGCACCAGGCGACCCCAGCAGGTTATGGCTCCCTTACGATTGTGCTGACCCAGGGCCAATTCCATATAGAAGAGGGGAATGCCACCGACCACCAACATAATGCCGTAGGGCACAAGAAAAGCGCCTAAAATTGCGGAGTTGAAATATTTTGCAGTCAACACTGGGCTCAGGAACTGGGCCAACTCTTTGCCAACTTATGTTTCAGCTATAGAAACGATCAATATAGTTGGTGTGATAATGATTGCATAACCGCCACATATTGAGACTGACCCGTGTCACAATCTCTGCATTGTTCGCCCTGCCCCCGTCGACAAACATAATTACACACACACTTGCTACGTAGACACCCGACCTTTATGTATGTTCGATGGCACACAAAATCAAATTGTTTTACAAGTGCCACTCTAAGGACATTTTAAAAACATTAACAGCAGCAGCAAGCTGGCGGGGGCAAGGCGGAAAAGCGGGGAAAGCGGGGAAAGCCCGGCGCGGCTGTCTCCTGCAGTCATCTCCATCATCTACGTCACCTCCGGAAAAGCCGAGCCAAAGTTACACCCCCTTTTGGGCCAGACAATTGGTAGAGTGCCATCGATACTTTGTCGAGTGGCAGGGGATGATGTTCTATGATTTGATTATGTCTATTAGCAGGCAAAGTGGCCGACAAAGTCGTCTAGGGCCAAAACCTACATATACCCACTGTATGCAAGGGCGTTCGGTTGGTCGGTGGGTGGGTGGGTCTATATGCAAAGTGTATCTACAAAGGGTCTGCCAGCTACGGTGCTTCCTTCTGGCGTGTCAATTATGTCGGAAATTTAAAACAAAACCGTCTAAAATAAAGTCGGAGCATCCCTGACGGCCGTCACTGTTGTTGAAGCCATAATTTCCGTTGCTTCAAGTGCATTTCCCCCATTTTCCAACAGCTCGTCAGGGACACTGTGGAAATATGTGCCTCTAATTCGATTCCCATTCCCTAATTCGGTCAAAACTTGTCCAATTTTAGACGCCAAGTGTTGATTAGGGCTTGACTAGCAAATTGATGTTATATTGAATTATTGAAAGTTATGCCTACTTAAATGCTTGAAGATAAGAGCATTTCAAATGTGCAATTAACAAAGAAAATATGCCCATTATTAGCATAGTATCCCTGGGATGATTTCACTGCAGTTATACAATAAGTTGATTTTCACAAAGCATAACTTTCGATACATACAAACTATGAACTTCGTTTAATAGGAATCTAGATATCTTGAAAAAGTTTAGGAATCAAGTGTATACTTTAACGAAATGCATTGTTAACTTAAGTACAATCACGCGGCGCGTATGCGCGATCTTAGCGCGAAAGGAGGCAGCTCCTTGGGCTTTAGCCCTAATCCAGGACAATGTGGATGGCACAGCCTGTTGCTGCCACCAAAGCTTCCACTTCCGAGTTGCAGGCAGCAGGAAAATGGGAAACAGAATAAATAATACCGACTAAGCTGTGGTAATAATCGCAACCTGAGCGAGTTGCTGCCCCTGGCAACGGACATAAAGTGGAACCTAAGCTGCAGATGGAGCTGGGAACCACTGATTGAACGCAATGAAGCGTATAAATATAACAATTTATTATTATGATTTTAAAGCAGCAGCGAGCGGGAGCGGGAGCAGGAGGAAAAAACTCATAAAATAGTAATAACTATATCGAAGGCCTTGTGAGCCACATCCATTCACGAGGCATCAGCGGGAAAGTGCCGCAATCAGAGGGAAAATGGGGGCAAGGAGGTGGAGATGGAGATGGCGATGGAGATGGAGACATGTTTCGCACATGAATTTCCCACAATGCGTGGAAATGGTGGAAAGTGCTCCAGCAACAAAAGCCTAGAGAACTCCACAAAAGCAGGCTGACATATTGCCCAGAAAGGGGGTGAAAAGAGTGACAGAGGGTAAGCAGGCCAAATGCGATTATGACTGCCAGATTTAGTTGTCATACAGAAGCACTTAACTTTTGGAATTGTTTTGAATGATGGCGTTGGCGATGAGGATCAGGAAGCGAAGTAAGTGTTCGAGTGTGTGTCCTTTGCCGCTCTTTTAGCGGGGAAAGCCCTGCAATTTGACAAAGGAACCATTCCCGCCCCTTCTCCTCGCACCGACAGCACTTCGCACCACTTTGACAAAGTGTTAACAAGGCCGAAAGGGAAATTCAGAAGCGGAAAGAGGAACGCGGAAAGCGGAAAGCGACGGGTTCTGTGGCGAGCCCAATGATGTGTAAAGCCATATAAATTATTTTCACTCAGCCAGAGCGATTGACGAAATGTCTTTATCCCCTAATTGGCCAGTTCACACGGAGAAAAATCACCAGCATTGGCCATCGAAAGTATCTCTACTGGAAGTATCTATTTGGATTTAAAAGGAATTTCAAGATTATCGTAGAAAACCTAGAAATATTAGTGCATACTTTTGGAGACCATTATTGTTTGTGTAAAATAATGATGTAGGATCTAAAAGAACCGACTTACCACCGCCATTTTTGTAGCACAAATAGGGAAATCTCCAGACGTTTGCTAAATCGACGGCGAATCCAATAACCGATAATAAAAAATCCACTTTGCCGCTCCATGTTTCGCGCTCGTCGCTGATGCTATTGTTATCGTTATCGTGTGGCGTGGGCGTCTTTGATTTGGATATATGTCCGGTTGGTGACATCTGCGACTATATAACCCGTCGTGTCCTTGACCCAAAATGTGGAGATCCCGCCGCCGCACTTTGAAATCTGTGAAAATCGTAGCACTTCAATGGGTCAACTCAGAGCTCAGATGTGCATACACTCGTATGCAAGAAATATGAACCATATTCAATGATTTAAGTCCCATTTCCATTCCCTCCAAATTCAAAACCCTTCACCAATCAATGGGCTTCAATGAGTGGGTGTCCAGGGCACTTGAAACCTGTTTGGCAACGACATGTGCTTACCCAGCCCTTGAAGAGCTCGTTGGCACATTACGCATACGACAGGTGGCATGTTCAAACACACTGGGCAGCAAACACTTGACCATCCACACCACAGAACAGGCACATAAATCCCCATATATGTGCCCAACTCTCGGGTATCTTTGCGTGTAATGAAACCACAAACACGTCAAGCAATTAATCTGATCTACTTTATGCCTCCCCACTGACTTTAATTGCCCTGAGTTGCGATCAATTAAGCGAAATGCAGATTGAGTGTTTAAAGTGCTCGGAACTGCGCTGGGCTTATTTATATCCAGAATTTATCTATCTTTTTATTTCAGATTTGATGGCAACCAAAGTTGGCCAGATTACAAAGTATTACAGAATATCAGAAAGACAGAATTTTGTATAAGTAACAAAAAATAATAATCGTTTTTATTTCAATATGAACTACTACATGAACTACTTTAAATGCACGTATGATATAACACTCGTTCTTTATGGCTTTCTTATCAAACTTACAACACATTTGTTTGATTTCAACACAATTGAATGATGTCAGTATTTTCATCTGTAATCTTTCACCTTTTAAATTTTTCATTTTACAACGATTTTTTATTAATATGATTCAGCTAATAAATACTTAATTTTCAATCTGTTTAAGCCAGCTGCACTTGAAAACTTGGTTCTTAAAGATATTATGTTGTTTATTTGTCGCTCGCTTTGAATTATTCAGTTATTCACTTCGTTCGATTTAATAATTTCTATCGTAGGTTTTTGTATATATAACTAAAAACTGGTTTTTATGCTTACTTACCTAACAAATACCAAGCTCAAATCATGTAGTTGCTCCAATCCATTGTAAAATAATCCTTGAGACTTTTGAAAAATATCCAGAAAACTTAGAAAAAAGCTCCACACAACCAATGCCGAATGCCAAACCCGAATTTCACTTCACATACATGGGCGGATGCGTTATAAATTTTTGGAAAACTTTCAACTTGAGGGCCGTGTTGGGAATTTCAAAATCGGAGTTGTTGCGCCTTCGGTGACATGCGAGCGTTTGCAAGTGGCTGCTGGCCAGCGGCTGCTTTTATAGCCCGCGACAAGTGGTTACCATTACGTCGGCTGCATCTCTTATCACACACACACAAATACACACCCGCACACAGCCGCACACACCCCAACACTCGCCAACACACATACCAGCCCCACTTATGTGCGGAAAAGTTTTGTGTGTGTGTCAAGCGCAGCGGTGAAGTTGAACCTCTAGAGCTGAAATCCGAATTCTGAAAGCCAGAAGTCGCATGCGCCAAGGAAACGTCGACGGAACCGGAACGGAAGTGACCAATTAGAGTTGCCTTATATATACATCGACAACGTGGCGTATACGCGATGTGCGTGTACTGGTGCAGCCTGTCTCTGTGTGCGAGAGCGCTCACTGTACGTGTGCGCTGTTAACTGGGGGTGCTGCTGTTAACTTGAAGACTTTTCTGCACGGCGATGTTAACCCGTTGCTTACTTTGAATTGTTGAACAAGGTTGGTTGCGAGCCTTTTTAATTCTTATAAGGTAATTACATATTATTTTTTTCTGTCTGAAAAGGCTAACAGGCTTCCTAAATCCGTTTTCATAAAGGTTCATATTTGTAGACATGGACTATCGTAACTATTTAAGTAATTACAACAAATTATGACTTCAAGTTAACATTCTTCGTTGTAAAAAAGCGTATAATATGTAACCACAAAAATATCCAAGTTTGCTTTTGAGTAAAATAAATATCTTTTCGGGTACGACTTTTCCAAGGGCAACCAGAGGGTTAAGCACTGTTAGGACCGCTTCTGTTGGGCGTACTCTACTTTGGCATTCATCTTGTGCAATCCCCTTCTCTGGTTCACACTCTTTCCCAATATTCCCACATCTGACTCGCAAACATATTTCGAAAACTTTTCGAAAACGCTCGCGTGCATTGCTCAGAATATCTTTTTTTAAATCCCAACCGAGAGCAGTTGGCAACGAGCGGTCGTGTACTACGGATGCGTGAAGCACCAATCCGCGTATCTAGTCTAAAAGTGCAGCGGTATAAATACATACATAGAAAGTTACATATGTATGTGGAAAGCCAGGGTACTTAAGGATTTTTGCGAAAGTGCGTGTGGCTACGTTTCGCTGGACAAATTCTACGCGAATCTACGGTGGCGAGAAAAATTCCGACACTATCGCAGAGGTTTTTATATAATAGGCAAGCGGGCATTATTTTTAATTTAGCTGTTGATATTATGCATAAAGCGAAGAGAGAAAACAAACATCAAAACAGAATAGAATCAGCGAAGCCGGGAGAGTGGCGAGAAGAATTCTACGGCCTGGTTCTAAAATCTTTTTTCCTCAAATTCCGCTCGTGTGTGTACGTGTCAAAATATTTATACGCGCACACGCTCCTCGGATTATTTGTTTGGTGAATTTCCACCAGGCACAGTCCCTATACATATTTACATATGTCCGTTTACCAGGAAGCGAATATACAAATCCCAATTCAGCCGATCAATTAATCTCTTAATTTACTTTAGCCGCGTGCAGGAACAGCAACAAAAGATACATAAATGCAGATACTAGCGTGTATAAAATAAAGGAATCGCACAGATGTAGAAATGTGTTCATTTGGTGTTTCTGTTGCTGTTTCTGCTGCTGTCGCTATAAATATTTACAACGCCCGCCTTGTATACAAAGTGTAAATATGTAGATACAATCTGGTAGATACATTCGCGTACATAAACTGTTTCAATTGTCTTATTGGCCCGCTCATGGACAAAGCTGCGCAGAATTGAAAGTGAATCAAGTGCTATGAACTGTTCAGTAAATAAAAACTGAGTTGCAACCACATTTTCGAAGCCAAAAATCGCCTATGTAAACAGCCAAAATGTCTAAGAAACCACGTGGAAACATTCACAAGATACGAGAGTTCGAATTGGAGAAGGTGAGTGATCGGAATTGATTCAGTCCGTAATCGGATATCGGATCGTAATATAAATACAATACTCATTACTTTCGGCGCGACTTGTGATCCATTATTATTTTATGGTTCAACCGGCAGCCATAAACAAATATGCAGATAGAGAAAGGTATTAAGAGTTCGACTTGGCCCAGTCGCGTCTTTATAGGAATGATGGGCAATCTGCCAATTGTCTCTTCCCGGGAAATCGTCTACAACACAACTGGGAAAATGCCATGTTAACGATTAGATTTCTGATCATTAAACACAAACAGCACTGGGCAGCGTCTCGATCTCGATCTCGAATACAGTAATGTTTAATAGGTCTAGGTAACGCATACTTTATATACTATGTACACACATGTCGCCCAGTGAATTTGCACATTTAATTGTTCAGATATAGTTGAGGTGGGTCTTTAACGAGGCGTTACACTTCACAAGAAGCTTTCTTTGATTTTTCCGCATAGAAAGCAAATTATAGGTGACTCAATTAGTTCGTTATTAATGGAGATCCGTTTAGGAACACGTGTCGCAGTCAGAAGTCGACAAACTCATGTAATCTAGTACATAGACTTCGAGTTCTGGAACTGAATTTGTAAAGTTTTTGAGTATTTAAAGGTTATAATTTGGTATATATGTATATCTTTTACAAAACCAATTTTCTATCACAAACTATGTGTGCAATATATTTTCTCTTCAATTAAAAAGATTTAATGGTTCCGAGAAGTTTCTTTACCCACATTGAATACATCTATGCACAGTTCCCCTTGCAATCGCAGCTGTTTTAATATGCCATCTATATATAGATCCAGCTTGTGGACGAGTTTGATATCATACAGATCGTTGGCGAAGGATGGTTCGGGAAGATTTTACTGGTGGAGCATCGCGGATCCCAGACGGAGATGGTCCTTAAAGCTGTACCCAAACCATATGTGACCCTGCGCGACTTCTACCGGGAATTCCACTACGGACTCCACCTCGGCGTTCACCGACACATTGTGACCACCTATGATGTGGCCTTTGAGACGGCGGGCTTCTACGTTTTTACCCAAGAATATGCTCCACTAGGTGGGTGTCCTAAAACCCTAATCTAATATGTAGTGTATCTAACATCTGATATCTCTAAATTGCAGGGGATCTCACATCGAACGTGACCGATTCGGGTGTGGGCGAAGTTTATAGCAAGCGGGTGGCGAAACAGTTGGCCTCGGCCATTGACTACATGCATTCAAAGTAAGTATTACTGCTTAAAGTCCCACTTTACCCTCCTCCTTAAGCATCATATAACGCTAATAAAATGCACCATTCCACAGAGACATAGTGCATCGGGACATAAAGTTGGACAATGTGCTCATCTATCGCTCGGACTTCCAGCGCATCAAGCTCTGCGATTTCGGCGAGTCCTTTCCCACAGGCTCCACTGTAGAGCGACGCAACGAGTGGTTGCCCTACAGTCCGCCAGAAGTATTAGAAATCAAGCCAGAGGGCAGTTACAAGTAATAACCACAATCTTTTCAAAAATGTTTCGACAAATATTATACGTATTAACACATATTTACCCATTTGCAGAGCCGATCCGAGCCACGATGTTTGGCAGTTTGGCATTGTGATCTTTGTGTGTCTAACTGGCTGTTTGCCCTGGCAGAAAGCTGCCTCCGATGATCCGCGCTATGTGCGCTATTTGGCCTGGCAGGGCGGACTTATGATGATGCCTCTGCGGCGAACTCCACGACTCTTCAAGCTGCTCACTTCGAATGCGCAGCGGATGTTCAAGCGTTTCTTTGCCAGGATCTCCAATCGCCCGAAGAGCCTGGCCGACGTTACCAAGTTCCTAGACGACCGCTGGCTGGCCAAGACCGCCCAGAAGGAGATGGCCGAGTACGAGACCGACGAGCTGTGCCCCTCCATGTACTCCTTCCACAGCAGCCCGGATGAGAAGAACAAGCTGCTCTACACCTTGGCCGACTGCGGAATCGAGACCAACGTGGACCGGCAGCAGAAGAAGAACCGCATCAAAGACTGGATTGAGTCGTCCATCATTACGGAGGAGGACGAGGTGAGAGTTGGCAAAGGAAATGGGTTTCTCATTGGGGAGAGGAACAAACTAATGAATCCGCAGACCAAAATATATTTTATATTCAGAACCACACAGGTATTCATAGTTCTTATACTAAAGGTTTCTTCTAACCTCAGCAAGTACCTTGAAACCAATCTTACTTACTAATCGTACTTATAGGAAAAACCAAAAGAAACACAACATAATCTCATAATAAACCATCATTTCCTTGAGAGCCTCTTTTGTATTTTATAGGCAATTGTTCTTGAAGCCTTGGCAGAAATACCTTCATTTTAATTTGCTGGCAAACCGCCAAGTGAAATTTAATTGTCTTAAGAACAACTAAATTGTTCTCGGATTAACCAAAAACTTTATTGACATACATTGCCCACAGTAAACAGATCACAACCCTTGATACTAAGTATTATAGCAAACCAATTAGATCAATGCTAATGGCTGCCAACTTGGTTGCAGGAGGAGAACGAGGAGACCAACTCGGCATCCCCATCCTCGTCGGTCTCGCGGGAGCCGCTTCCCGGGCACATATCCTCGCTGCGCAAGCCCACAAGTCCGGCGGAAAGCGCCAAGGAGATCAACAGCACCCTGAAGGACGCCACCCAGAAGCACTTCGATCCGCGCACGGGGGCACTGCAGCAGGGACCCAGCGAGATGGGTCAGGTGGCCATGGCGTATTCCAAGTCGGCCAGTCCCGCCTCCAACTACAGCACCACAGCGTCCACACTGAACAACGCAGACAGCCTGCTGACGCTGGGCTCGCGGCAGGATCTGCTGGCCAGCAACCTGACCATGTACACCTCCATGGAGACCGAACTGAATCGTCTAGGTGAGGCTGATCCTCGGCTGAACCAGCGCACCCAGAGCAACAATCCCCTGCTAACCACCTTCGATGTGAACACCAATCCCGCCGCCAAGAACTCGATTGGAGTGGGCACCCGCGGCTCCAGCCGCAGCATCCTCAAATCCTCCATAGCCACCGCCGCTTATCCCGCTTTGGGCGCTTTTAACCACGGCCAGAGCCACAGCCTGCAGCAGCTGAACCAACACCTCCAAACATCCACGGGCCTAACTCCCAGCAAGAGCTCCTTCTTCCGGCGATGACAACACCGCCGACTAATTGTCACTAATAGTCATCCTTGCCGCACTTTCAGAGCTTCGCGATGCCCGGCACTCGAGCTACGCTAATCTCCCATATGCTTCTCAAGTTAAAGACAGTGCCTACGGATCGGTCGATGTCAGCGAGATGGCGGCGTCCAGCAGGAGTCCCTCGCTGATGAAGGACACCGCCTACGATCGCACCACCAGCTCCAGCAGCCACAACATCGCCCGGCGACAGCGCAGATAGCTCCCCAGGGGGAACAGCAAGCAGCCACTGATTTAAAAGTTCCAATAAATAGTTAACGTACATTTCTTAAGTGGCGACCACTCCTTTACTTTTGGTACAGGATTAGAGGGAAAACGCAATGCAGCCGGGTGTTCTTATAAAAGTACGTTTCATTTATTCACGCATCATCTCAACAGCCCAGAAGACGAGCAACGCTCACTTCAGAGGAATGAAACGGGAGCTGTGGGTGGCACCGATACCGGGACGACCGTGCTTGACGGGCTTGTAGGTCAGAGCGAACTCGCCCAGGTAGTGACCGATCATCTCGGGCTTGACCTCCACCTGTGGAAGGGGATCATGGAGTTAGTTGTGTGGATCTAGATGGGGACATTGAGGGGAGGACTGTTTCAGACCTGGCTACCTAGTTTGTCAATCACTAGTCTAATAATCCTAGTCTGTGAAAACCACTTGACTTGAACAAAAATCTAAATGGCAACAACCAGAATCAATTGAGATATTTTTAACATGGACTTCATCCACTTTAAGATTTTATGGAATGTAGTTTCATACTATATCTAAGTTCAAGGAATACTATTGATAGATCTTAAGCTGAAGGCTTTGTTAGACTTCCCTCTATGAGGACATTTAAGTACAATAAATAGTAAGGCGCGCTTTTCACTGGTTTTTTCAACTTTCAAATGATAATCTTTATGCTCTCTATTCTTCAGAATAATGGGTTTCGTAAAGGAGCTCGTTGATAAAGACTCGAGCAACTTGGTGAAAGCAGCGATCTATGTCCACTTCACTGACTAGGGATTGACACACTACTGTTCCACAAACAGGTCCTCCTCCGTGTGGTGCTTACCTGTCCGAAGTCCTTGCCGTTGTAGACGCCAATGATGGAGCCGGTCATCTCGGGGACGATGATCATGTTCCTCAGGTGGGTCTTGACAATCTCGGGCTTCTCATTTGGAGGCGCCTCCTTCTTGGCCTTGCGCAGCTTCTTGATCAGGGCCATTGGCTTGCGCTTCAATCCGCGGGAGAAACGCCTGCGGGCACGGCTGTGCATCAGCTCCACCAGCTGGTTGCTATTTTGGGCGGAAAAATCACGTTTATTGGGGATTGCACTGGGGGATGTGGGGCTATCCAACTCACTTGGGCATGTCCAGAAGCTGGTCCAAGTCGACACCACGGTAGGTGAACTTCTTGAAGGTACGCTTCTTCTTCAGATTTTCATCGACTTGCTGAATAAAACGAGAAAAACACCGACATTAGTTTCCATTTAGCCGGAAAATCTCGCTGGGAAACTCCGGAATAACATCAGCAGCCGTGCGGCAATGTCTTTTAGTTGTGTTTCGCATGGCATTTTGTTCGATTCCCGCACGGATGCCGAGTTTTTCATTGGATTTTGAACAGATATTTACATCGGCCATCTTTTTTGGTTGCGCACAAAAACGGAAAGAGATTTAAGGCAGTGTGACCGCGCAAACGTACGCAAAAAATACCGGCTGGACAAGCAAGAAATATACTTTATATACCAGCATATATTAAACATTCATACCAAGCATACCGACTACATACAATTAAGACTGTTTGTTCATTTACAAATTTATTAAATAGTTTTATCAAATAAAATACAAAAACCGATCATATTGGGTGATCACCTAATTAATAACCAAGATTTCTAGCGCTGCTCGAATGTCTTCTAGATATTGTATATTTATCGCAAATTTTTAAATGTGCCACAAACGGTCTGCCTAATGTTAGGGTAGGGTGGACCAAAAATGTATGCGTTCAATGTTATCGATGTTTCCAACCATTCGGCTGGCAAGGCAGAAAGGTGGCATCACTGATAAGGAGTCTGAATTCGCTAACGAAAAAGTTTGAACATATTTTTAAATTGCCAAATAACACAGCAATAATAATAGTAATAAAACATTGAATACTTACTCACAGACAACGTATCAGCTTTGAATAAATTATCTTAACACTATTTAAATTGAAATATATATTTCTTGCTTCTTTAATATCTATATTATTGCATTAGCTGATTTTTAATTCAGTAAAAAGATTAAACATAAAACTGAACAAATTAATCTCTACACAAACAAAAAATAGCATTCCCAAGTCTCGATTCCCAAGTCTTATAAGCACTTTTCCGCTTATCAGTTACTTCCGAACTATATATTTTCGAAGCTCAGTTTCGAATTAGTCGGCGGCTGCAATGCAAGTGAAGTTTTGGATCCTGCTGATCTGGGCAGCACCACGCAGTGTTGCATCCGAATTCTGCGATAATGGAACTGGGGAGTGCAAGGATCTGAGTGCCACTGACTGCCCGGCGGTGTTCTTCAACCTGGCCCTGATCGGAAGACTTGTGAAATTTTGCGACGAGTTCAACGACGTTGTTTGCTGTCCCCTGCCCCTCGATAGGCAAGCTCAATCGCAGCAGTTCTCCGCAGATACGGGCCTCAGGAGATTCGAAAAGGGTCGGTTTCGGGCTGCACTGCAAACCGTGAACTAAGAAACATGTGCATCCCACAGAATGCCGTCGCTACAACGAGATAAGAGCTTCCTGCCGCGCCACCCCCTTCATTGTGGGTGGAGCCAAGGCCGCTGGCCGGGAATTCCCCTTCATGGCGCTGCTGGGTCAGCGTGGGAAGAGCTCCTCCCAAATCGAGTGGGACTGCGGGGCCACCATCATCCATCCCAAGTTCGTGCTGACCGCCGCCCACTGCCTGGAAACCAGCGAGTAAGTGGAATTCCAAATGCCCCAGCAACCAGAACCATGTCTCATCACTTGGCAGTTTGCTAAAAACAACAGTGTAATCAAAGCTAGAAGCATCAAGCTGTATTCAAATAGTAATTCAACTTCCAAGTGATAGGAAGTTTGCTAAAAACAACAGTGTAATCAAAACATGTAGCCAAACCAAACTAGAAGCATCAAAGCAAAAGTAAATAGTTGAATAGTTCCAACTCTTTTATACTTAGGAACATTGCTTCGAACGTTTATATGCTCTAAATAATTAATGAAATGTTTAATGTTTCAACATATTTATGATATGTGAATAACTTGTGACTGATATGTTTTACAATTTGTAAGAACTCTAAAATACAATCACTTTCAGATATCAACCTTTAATAATTTAAGGCTTGACCCCTTTAGTTGAATTTCCTAACTAATTTGTACAAGTAGCCAAGCATATACACCTAATTTATTTAGAGCTGCCTTTGATTTGTTGCTTGGAATTTAGTTCAGAAAAACAAAAATCAGCATAAGTTCGCATCTTATTAGCCAATCTATTCGTCACTGCTAATGCGTTTGCGGCATAAATTAATTTGTATAATGGTATTGTCTAAATATTTTATCACAGCATCATGTTTTAAACATACTATTTCCCAAAATCTTTCCTACGTGGAAATCGGATTGCGGAATAATCAAGTTTTGACACTTTATCAATCAAATGTATACAAAATCAGCGACTTCCCCATCTACTTTTAGTTTCTTCCAATATTAATACCTTTTGCTGATGAACTCTAGGACCAAGGAGCAGCGTCTGGATCCCAACTACGATTGCCCCAAGTACGTGGTTAGAGTGGGCGAACTGGACTACCTGAGCACCACGGATGACGCACAGCCGCAGGACTTCCGGGTGGTCAACTATGTGGTGCATCCGGCGTACGGCGAGGACGATGACACGGGCAGTCGCAGGAACGACATTGCCGTGGTGGAGCTGGAGAGGGAGGCGACCTTCAGCGAGTATGTGGCGCCTGCCTGCCTGCCCCTCGACGGCGGAAATGAGCACCTGCAGGTGACAGCCGCCGGATGGGGCGCCACCTCGGAGGCAGGACACTCCTCGTCGCATCTGCTCAAGGTGATCCTGCAGAGATTCGACGTGCCCCAATGCAGCCAGCGGCTGGAGCTCAAGATCGACGTGCGCACCCAGCTGTGCGCGGGATCGCGGAACACCAGTGCGGATACTTGTTATGGCGACTCGGGCGGCCCGGTCTTCGTGCAGCACCCCACATACTCCTGCCTGAAGCAGGTGATTGGCATCACCTCGTATGGACGGGTCTGCGGCGTCCAGGGATTGCCCAGTGTGTACACCAAGGTCCATCTGTACACCGACTGGATCGAGAACATCGTGTGGGGCGAGTAGGCGGCCAAATGTTTGCGCAGCTCATTCGCAGCTTCCACTGACAGGTGCCAACTTCTGTTTGGACTTCTACTTAATGGAGATTCGATGCGAATGAAGATATTTAATGAATATACATTCTAGCCAGTCGCCTGCTAATTTGCCCAGACATTCAATCAAGATATGCAGTGATTGGTTGCAAGTAAACGTGTGGATCATTGGATCATAAATATTTATGGTGAGTTATGGCTGTGCCATGTGGCAGCTCACAACTCACTTCCGTGTTTTATTCGACAAAATACTTTTGCTTCGGCTTTGAAGTGCATAATTATAAACTTTGGCTACCAGAACAACAAAACCTTTTATCGGATCTGTCCATCTATTTCGCCATTAGTTGCCACAACTCAACATGTACTGCATGATTTCGATTTGTACTGTTTTATTCACTAGTTGCAATGATCAACAACAGCAAAGCGAAAGCCCCCAATATATCAAAGGATTGAAAAACTTATGACATCAAGAGTGCCAGTTTCATATGCTAAATGAATTCATAAACTAAAACCTGAACGAGCAGCGTGATTAAGAGCCACTGAAGATCCGGTTAATAGCCTTTCAAGTACCTTCGCACCAAAACTAGATACCCAGCCGGTCACATGGGTTCATTTAGTCTGTGATTCGCTGATTCGGTGATTCGCTGATTCTGATAACAGCACGCCCACAAAGAAAGGAAGAAGCACCTGCACTTTCATATCCGATTTGTTAGCTTTAATCAAACGTCGCGATAACAGGTGGCATAACAAACATTTGGGCTTATTCTACGGGGATGTGGGTGGTGTGCTGTGGTGGCGGTGCGAATGGGTAATTATTATATAATATTATATAGATGAGTGCTCTCTCTTCGTGCTGCAGTGCATTTGACTTAGGGCTAGGACGCATCGAAAGTGGCTAAGTGGCTAAGTGCTAGAGGACCCTGTAGAAGGCCAACCCGTCCCGGGCTGGCTGGATAGACACTGGACTGGATTGGACTGGCTTGGACTGGCTGGGATGGGGCTTCGGTACTACAGCCGCTGCAGACGGTTCAGATCGTGGCGCCTCTGTGCGTTCCTGTCCTTGATCTCCTGCTTGCGGATCTCCTGCTGCTTGTACACGAACAGGGGCCGGAAGACGATGGCCCTGCGAGGACGACTCAGCACCTGGGCACCCGCATCCCTGCGCTGGCGCACCGAGTACGGCCGGAACAGGTTCGACTTGGCCGTGTCGTGGGCGTACAGAGTGCTCAGGAAGTCGAAGTACGGCTTGGAGCGCAGGCTGTCCGGCTGGGCCAGTGGCGATGGACTGTAGTTGAACTGGTTGGGCGTCTCGATGTCCAGCAGGGCGTGGGGCACCTCCTGCTGCTGGGGCGCGGCCATCGTCGTCATCGTCGTCGCCGCCAGGATAACCAGGGTGGCCAGTGGAGCAAGCTGCAAGGGAACAAGGAAGGAAGGGCACCGATCAGTCAAAGGTGTGAATGGCTGGTGGAGGCCAGTGGCTGGGCCAAGCGGTGCCAGAGAACCAGAACCTGTCTGCTCTTAGCGCTTATGCTGTGAATTAGCATACAATAATTAATTTAAATTAACCAACTGGCGGAGAAGGGGATGGGATCAATGATATAACCGCAATCAAATCTAATTTATAGTCTCGCACGTAAAATATTCATGAGCACGTCTCGAGTTTGGTAGGCGTCATCCAGCATGAATTCGAGTCCAGCTGATCGCTAGGCGCCATCCAACCGGATGCATTGCTGCCCACAATCCACAATATAGTAGAGGAGTTTTCATAACTATTCCTGGAAAGCCCACCTCTGAATCACCCGATTGGCTAAGTAATTGTGCTATGTTTTCGCTGGTTTTTGAATTATGTAAAACCTTAACCGCAGTCAAAACAAATTAATTACAATCAGCAGTGGGCTGAAGGAGAAGATTAAGGTGGAGATGGAGATGGAAATGGAGATGGTGATCGAGATCGAGACTGCGACTGCGACTGTAACCGGTTGCGTCTCATGTGGTTCAGGGCTAAGAGCTCGACTTTGTAAACGGTATCAAGGCTCCCAGCAGGATGGATGATCTGCGGATGAGCCCAAGATCAAGGTGCCCACTCTGTTTACGACACTTCCTCATCAAGATGATCACAAGATCGAGTCACGATGGAATTTGATAAAGAAATAGGAATAGAAATAGAATAACTTGATTCGATAATGCGTTCGACCTTGTCCGGCGGCGAAAAAATCAGAGTACGCTGTCCGTTTGCAGCCTTAATTTGTGAATTTTTGGTTGGAAATGTTAATGTTAATCGGCGAAACACGTTTCTTTGTTGGCCTGTGTGCTGTTTGGCTGACAAATTGATTGAAATACTTACTTGCCAAGTGTACGCAAACATCTTCGATGGGTATGCGGTATTCGGGTTGCGTTTAATTGCCTAATTGGAGTAAGTGGAGTATCCTGTTTGGAGTCTGCTTGCACTTGTCACTTGTTCCGATTCCGATTCCGATTGCAGATCGAATCAATTTGTATCTGATCAATTTGTTGGCTGTGCGCACTCGCGAAAGTCGAAACCGTTCTTATCGATCGTTAGCTTGTTATCAGCGATCGCTTAACACCTTGTTGGCCCCCGGGGCTTGGATGTGCTTTTGTGGCTCTGATTCTCGATGCTGTCGCCGCTGAGCGTACGCCTCAACTGTTCAGAATTTTTGTCACAATTCACTTTTATACGGCCCGGTCGACGCCTTCGCCAGCCGAACAGGTTTGGACCCGGGTTTCGCTAAATATTGCCGATATCGCGGCGTGCGTAGCCCCCTGCCGCCAAAAATCGGGGGTCCAGTTCGAGGGCTTTGTGGCCAAGTTGCCAAGTTGCCAAATTGGCAACTGGCACTGGCTGCATCTTGGCCGCTCCAGCTGGCCACGTAATTAACGCTTCTGCGCCTCCCAGGGGTATCAAATCGAATCGAATCACATATGCGTCACATAAGCCGTGTTTGTTTGCGTTTGGCATCAAGCGATCTACAAAATACGATCTCCGATCTTCTGCGGGAACTAATTAAACTTTTTCCATGACGCACTTACTAATCAAGAAGACACTAATCCCCCGGAGATCGGATAAACATCGGACAGGCATTACAGGATGAGGAACTGGCGCCTCAGACACGGAAGCCGCTGGCTGGTCGTAAACTTTTTCGAGATCTATAGCTCTATAGCTCCAAAGATCGCGAGATCCCTCACAGAGATCACGGCATCGTATCGGATCGGAACCAATTTGGAGATCATTATGCGGCCAAGTTATGCAAATCGCTGGGCGGTGACGCATGTTTGGATGCTTGGATGCTTGGAAAACTGTCAACCCAGCGCCAAACGGCGAGGCACTTGAGCTTGGCTTTCATGCTTGAGGGGAACCCGTAATCCCAAGGCCGATGGTTCTTGTTTAATGCCAATGGTAATGAGCGGCGCTCGACTGGATCGGATCTCCGGATACCCCCCAAAGCCCCTTCTTGCCGCACGTGATCAGTAGATCAGATCTTGGATTTCAGATCTCAGATCTCAGATCTCAGATCTCCATCTCCATCTTCATCTCCGATCGATGGTGTTCGGTTTTGGACTGCTCGGTTCGAAGAGCCAGTGACGTTGTTGGCCAAGTGGCATTAGCTTTCGATTTCAAGACCCGTCTTGGCCGTGTCAATGGCCAACCGGTTGCTTCGGCAGACTGCTGGCTGATTTATTCAATTGGCTAACATTTAGCCAAATTGCCCGTCAACACCCCCGAAAAACGGGCTCAGAACGACGTTCTTTTCGGCTCTTTGTTTGTTTTCAGCTTACGATTTGGCATTTTCTTGCGTATTTTTAGCCAGAACCAAACCATTTTGCCCATAATATTTGTACAATAAATATCATTTAATTAGTTTCTTGGCTCCCAGCCGGTTTGAAACGCAATAAGATTAATCGACAGCCGATAAGCGCCGTAGTCACGGGCCGACAAAATGTCAGAGAGTGAAAAACAAAATAAAAATACTTATCAGCGACTTGCGTCTATTCGGTAATTGGTGCATTTCGGATCCGACCGGATCCTAACGGTACACATAATCCCATTATTCCGGCAACGTTCCGTACGCAAAACTTATGCAGATTAGCTAGCCAATCCGACGGCAGCTTCCTCGAGAATTAGTTGTTAAGTGGCTGAAAATCAAAGATGATTATGATTCCCCGAAACCCCCATAGCATTAATTATTCATTCATGAAAAAACATTGTATATCCATGTTTTCTGGGAAAGGCGAATGAATCAGCTGGGCTCGATTCGGAAATGCAGGTGTTCTAATTGGGAGAGCTATGTTCCACGGCTGGGCGTTGACTTCCGCGGAGGAGCACGACTCATCGAGGTGCTAAGTGGCCAAGATGGGCTGCAGCAATTGAATCACCATCCACAATCCCAATCGCCGACTGGCGCCTCCAAAGGTGAGAAAGGGGCACGTTCCGCCTGCTTGGGAAAGTGATATTTCCATTTCCCACCAGCCACGACGTCCATCCTGAGCATTCGCATTCGAATTCGCATTCGCTGTTTGCCCTTTCACTTTGAGCCGGACTGGCGTACGTCATGCATAATTTAGGTGCCTGATACTCGCTGGTGGTAATTAACACTTGTCTGACTTCGTCACTGTGCTCTAATTTGATTTAGCCACTAATTAATGCCGCTTTTTCCCCAAAACCATGGAAATTTTCGCCAATCCAATTGGTAGCATTATTGATAGGCGGTGTTAAATGCGGTTGTGAGTTTTACAAAGTTTTTCGCAACATTGTTTTCAAATTTACGCGGGCCACCGATCGAGCTTTATTCGAACTCGAAACTCGCGGCGCTGCCAGACTGCTGGAATTCATTGCCAACGCTTTCACTCAAGCAGCTTGAGTAACTTTCGACATTCAACTAATGTCAATAAATTATACATTCAAAGAGGTACTTTATCGCCGGGTTGAGTGACAAATTAATTTATGCTGCCAAACTGCACTTAATTTCAGAATATTTTAATATTTTGCAAGGTAATCAGAATTGAAGTTTACCAAACCAACAGAAATAATAAAAACAGTTAGAAGTCAATGACACACACGTTTAGTGTTACCTAAATGTATTCCTTAAAGATTTCTTCATAATAAATGACAATTTTCTATAAATAAAAAATATGACACAAATTTTGTATTTATTTTTCATTCACCTGAAAATCAAAAGAATGGCCATGCTACCAGATCTCAATAACAGTAGTTGTCCACAATGAAACAACATTTCGAGATGAACAAAATGATTGCAACAATTTGATTGAACAGCGGTCGCTAACAATTTCGAATTTAACGGTTAACAGATCTGCGGCTACACCACTGTTAGCCGCCGTCTGTTGTCCAAACAGCGGGCGATAGCAGGCGAAGAGAAACCGCTGTTAGGCCGCTGTGAATATCGTAATCGCTAAAACTGTTTTGAAGCAAAAGCCACTCGGTTCTTACGACTATTGGTAAAATTTTATAAAACGCTGCTTTAAAAACTTAATTACAGTGCAGCTGGTGCGCAACTGACCGTGCTCGCACAGAAATTCGTGTCACGGTGCTCTGATTATCAACAATTTGTGGATTATCAACAAATGTCAAAATTTCGTCAAGGCCAATAAAAATTGTATATGCATAATAGAGCTGCGTCTGTGTGTGTACCACCCGGTGTGTGTGTGCGTGTGTGTGAAGATCACTTAGCGGCGTGTGCGTGTGTGTGCGAGTCTCTGGGCAAATAAAAAACACATTTTTTAATATTTAACTAATATTTTGCACAAAGGCCGACGGAAAAACGGCAACATTGGCATTGAGTACACCGGAAAAAAACGTAAAGTGAAGCCTTTTTCAGCAGAATGCACACAGTGAACGAGTGATGGAGAGGGAGAGCGAGAGAGAGGGGGCGAAGACTAGTGCAACAATAACCATTTCAGATTATAAACCTCATATGTAATTCCAATTCCGATGTTTTCCTCGAAATCTACCCACTCTCTTAATAAGTGCCATAACTTTTTTCAGTTTCGTTGCTTCGCCTGTCTCGCGATTAGAATTAATTGGCAAATAGCAGCACCAAAATATTCCGGTTCTTTTTTGCGGTGCCAATACTTGTCCGATACGGGCAGAAAGGTGCACTTGGAGAAAAGTGGTAGCACCGGCAGCAGTTCGGCCTTCACCGTCATCCCCAAGCAAGCAAGAGTAACAGGATGCACGAACGAAGCCGCAAAGGGGAGACGGCGAGCAGCAGCACGAAGAGAGGCGAACATGAATAAACCATAACTAGTGCTAGTGTTGGTGTTCTGCGATTGGTTACACATTAAACTACAGTGTGTACAAATGAACAAAAACATACAACGCGGTTCAACGACCGCCTCCATCTACATTCACACATAGTTGTCCATGTTTGTCGCTACTCGGTTTTCGGATTTCGGTTCTGGGTTCTTGGTTCTCGGTTCTCGGAGATAGAAAAGCATAGCAGAGCATATAGCCAGACTTTTTGTTGTTTTTTTGTTTTTTTTTCTTCGGGCCCATTAGCACCTGTCACACCAGTCTTTATCGCCAGTTTTGGGGCTATCTAGAAAAAAGGAACAGGTATGGAATCAGGTAAGGCACTCGCTCCTTATCGCTCGCACCCTCTCCCTGTCTCGCTCTTTCCCTGTGTGAACTATCGCTCGGTGCACAAGAACATATCGATACGCGCCGCACAGATCGATAACCAAAGAATCGATAACTCACAGTAGGTGCAATTAACGGTGAACCATAGGTGTCACATAACCGGAATATCACAGCCATACGGAATTACCCGTGGAAAACCAGCTACATGTCACTTTCACGCCAGCTGAAGCGGCAGAAAATGTCCCAGGGGAAGAAGTTCGGCGATGGCGATCCGTTCAACTACCAGGAGCTGAACATCATCGGCGAAGGTGAGCGGTTTTCCCAGTGTTTTGTGGTAGTGGATGCTTCTTGTTGGGATACGTCGGCTCCGTGCTGGCGGCTAGTTAACGATTTCACTTTAATTTGCTTACAAACCTTGGGCTATTTGGTTTTACTACTCCTCACATTTATTTATGACCTATTCGGAGTGCCGACCTTATTATGAGGCTAAAACAATCATGTTAGCTGATTGTTCGTAGCGCATTGACCGAAGCGCACTTGACCGAACGCTTTTGAAGCAAAGTTAAATTGAGCGTGGAAAATCGGTAAAAAGGGGCAATATCGGATGTCACCATGAAAAACTTTCCAGTTGTAGCCCTTTCACCTTTTCCCTGCATACTTTTGGGTTCCCACTCGGCGGACCACGTGTTTCTGCACCATCATGTGGGGAAATCAATCCCAGACCCAGATCGATGATCTGACAAGTGGTCCATGGTCTTTTTGGCCAGCAATTACGGTGGCTTGTTTTCTGTAAGTGAAGCCCCAATCAATTACGTCACCGAGCGAATGCTAATGATGGTTATTGTTAATGGTTTGGTATTAACGCGAGTCATGGGCTCAGGCAGAGGCGTTGTTTTGGGGGGGAGCTAAATGCCGGAAGGCCCTTCACCCTACCCGCCCCTCCGGGCGAACAAAGCGATTTCATCTGTTATACAACACACGCACACTCGCACTTTCGGCTGTCCGCTTCTGGGCACATTCATTCAATGAACGCCATTCGCTTTCGCTCCAAGCTCTCATTGTTGTTTTCAGTGCGCAATT